TGGGAGAACCTTCCAGAAGGACAACCATCTCTGCAGCACTCCACCAATCAGGCCTTTATGGTAGAGTGGCCAGACGGAAGCCACTCCTCAGTAATTTATTTTATTATTTTTATTTCACCTTTATTTAACCAGGTAAACCAGTTGAGAACAAGTTCTCATTTACAACTGCGACCTGGCCAAGATAAAGCAAAGCAGTGCGATAAAAAACAACAACAAAGTAAAAGGAACATGACAGCCCGCTTGGAGTTTTCCAAAAGCCACCTAAAAACAAGATTCTCTGGTCTGATGGAACCAAGATTCAACTCTTTGGCCTGAATGCCAAGCGTCACATCTGGAGGAAACCTGGCACCATCCCTACGGTGAAGCATGGTGGTGGCAGCATCATGCTGTGGGGGTGTTTTTCAGCGGCAGGGACTGGGAGACTAGTCAGGATCGAGGCAAAGATGGACGGAGCAAAGTACAGAGAGATCCTTGATGAAAGCCTGCTCCAGAGCACTCAGGACCTCAGACTGGGGCGAACGTTCACCTTCCAACAGGACGACGACCCTAAGCACACAGCCAAGACAACGCAGGAGTGGCTTCGGGACAAGTCTCTGAATGTCCTTGAGTGGCCCAGACAGATCCCGGACATGAACCCTATCTACCATCTCTGGAGAGACCCGAAAATAGCTGTGCAGCAACGCTCCCCATCCGACCTGACCGAGCTTGAGAGGATCTGCAGAGAAGAATGGGAGAAACTCCCCAAATACAGGTGTATTTATTATGGATCCCCATTAGCTGCTACTCTTCCTGGGGTCCAGCAAAAGTAAGGCAGTTATACATTCTAAAAACATTACAATACATTCATAACAGATTTCACAACATATTAAGTGTGTGCCCTCAGGCCTCTACTCTACTACCACATATCTATAACACAAAATCCATGTGTACATGTGTGTATAGTGCGTATGTTATCGTGTGTTTGTATGCATGTGTCTATGTTTGTGTTGCTTCACAGTCCCTGCTATTCCATAAGGTGTATTTTTATCTGTTTTTTTATCTAATTTTACTGCTGGCATGAGTTACTTGATGTGGAATAGAGTTCTATGTAGTCATGGCTCTATGTAGTACTGTGCGCCTCCCATAGTCTGTTCTTGACTTGGGGACTGTGAAGAGACCTCTGGTGGCATGTCTTGTGGGGTATGCATGGTGTCCGAGCTGTGTGCCAGTAGTTCAAACAGACATCTCTGTTCATTCAACATGTCAATACCTCTCAGTAGTGATGAAGTCAATCTTTCCTCCACTGTAAGCCAGGAGAGATTGACATGCGTATTATTAATGTTAGCTCTTTGTGTACATCCAAGGGCCAGCCGTGCTGCCCTGTTCTGAGCCAATTGCAACTTGACTAAGTCCCTCTTTGTGGCACCTGACCACACGACTGAACAGTAGTCCAGGTGCGACAAACTAGGGCCTGTAGGACCTGCCTTGTTGATAGTGCTGTTAAGAAGGCAGAGCAGCGCTTTATTATAGACAGATTTATCCCCATCCTAGCTACTGTTGTATGTTTTGACCATGACAGTTTACAATCCAGGGTTACTCCAAGCAATTTAGTCTCCTCAACTTGCTCAATTTCCACATTATTCATTACAAGATTTAGTTGAGGTTTAGGGTTTAGTAAATGATTTGTCCCAAATACAATGCTTTTAGTTTTTGGTGTGCCAAGCTTGTAGCGTCATACCCAAGAAGACTCAAGGCTGTAATTGCTGCCAATGGTGCTTCAACAAAGTACTGAGTAAAGGGTCTGAATACTAAACCTGTGTAATCAATTTTAGAACAAGGCTAACAAAATGTGGAAAAAGTCAAGGGGTCTGAATACTTTCTGAAGGCCTTCTTTAAAAAAAAAAAAATCTAAGTTGGGCTTAAAGGGTAGCGTAGCGTAAAAACACTCCCTCTATACAGAATGTTAATGGCTATAAATACATATGGTTCAATATGATCAATACTAACTTTGCATAATACTGTAGTCCATTGTGTATATTTATACCCCAAATCATTGATTTGAAGCTGTTTTCAGATAGGCTTTAGAAAGACAAGTTCAACTAATTAACAAGAATAGCAATACAGCAAATGTGAATCAGCTTTCAGATCATTCATTGAAAGTTGTGTGTGTTATGGTCTTTGTGCATGGCTTTTTATCCACAGAGGGCCAGTGTGGTTGCAGGTTTTAGTTCTAACCAAACAAAAACACACCTGATTCAACTAATCATTTCTTGATTGAAGTCTTTGATTAGTTGAATCAGGTGTGTACTGGTTGGCAAGAACAAAAGCCTAAGTGTACATTGATATCTGTGGCTACAATTGGACCCCCCTGTAATGAGTGCTACTATCATGATGAATAGTAATGATCCGTTTATTTTTTATAACTTTAGGGGAGATTAATATATAATCACATTTTACATAAGAAATGTCCGTTTGTACATTTGGAACATTTGGAAATTAATAATCTAAGAGGTGGGCTTATTTGGAACACACATGGCCTTTAAAAGGTACATTCGGTACCCATTAAGCCCAGTCTGGACTTTTCATATATTTAATCAAATGTTTGTATCTCTTATTAAAAAATGTTGTAAGTAAAGTCATAAAACTTGATCAGAGATTCATCTTTAATTTTATCTCCACTTTTTATTTGTTATTTTATTCGTACAAAAATTAGGGCTGTATATATTAGAAATGTCTAAACTTAGATTTTGGTGGGATTAGTAGGTACACTTACCCATATCAATAATAGATTAATAAAACAAATACAAAAATATAGTTTTTTGGTGGAATTTTCCTTTAAGTGTCAGTGGTCTTTTAAAGAGACAATCTGGATATTCTTTGCTGTTACATGCTCATTTCCGGTATCAAAACCCAAAATATGGTTGTACTTGTACTACCCTTTTTATATATTTTTGTTGTATTTTGAGTTTTGTTAACGATCAACGATTCAAAATATCTCATGGACTGTCACTCCATGCATAGTGGTCTAAGGCACTGCATCTCAGTGCTTGAGGCGTCACTACAGACCCCCTGGTTCGATTCCAGGCTGTATCACAACCGGCCGTGATTGGGAGTCCCATAGGGCGGCACACAATTGGCCCAGCGTCGTCCGGGTTTGGCCGGTGTAGGCTGTCATTGTAAATACGAATTTGTTTTTAACTGACTTGCCTAGTTAAATAAAGGTAAAATAAAAAATAAATACAAAAGAGCCACATCTATGAATTTGAGAGTGGTTACATTTCTCCAGCCCTATCCACAGACCACAGACAATGCTGCCTGATTTATCCATTCAGTGTTTTCCAGGGTTAGGAAACACCACAAAATCAGTAGAGCAAAGCAAGCAAAGTGTGATCACAGATCAGTCTAAAGGTTAACCATCTATCCCATGTGTCATAAAGCTACTAGAGAGTTTAGAGAGAATGTTGCACAGTGTTTATGCACAGTATGATGAACTGGTTGTTTTGAGCAAGATGAAGATATTGTGATTTGACACATCTGGATCTGAATGTGTCATTCCACGCTTCTCATTGCTTCAGGCTAGAAAGAGGCAATTAGTTGCAATGTTCTTTCAAGCTGAAAAACAAGGTAACAATAGCTAGGTTTCCATCCAATTAGCGACAGATTTCCCATGCAAATATTCAAAAATCTGCATAAAACTATTTGCACATTTTCTACCAGAGATGTTTCCATCAAACAGATTTTTTGCGGATAAAAGGCTGTGCGTGATGACGTAGTGTACATAAAAATAACTTTTGCCATTAAATTCCCATGTACCGAATGGAAAAATCAAAGTTAAATGGGTTTCCATCGCATTTTCAACACTACTGATTGTTTTGTTACAACAACTGTTGCATTATACAGCAAATGTGCCCACTCAGGTCTTGGCACATGCGCTTTAACCCAGGGTTTCCAAAAGTCGGTGCTGGGGCCCCCCCTGGGTGCATGTTTTGGTTTTTGCCCTACCACTACACAGCTGATTAAAATAATCAAGGCTTGATGAAGAGTGTACTGGGGGCCCAGGACCGAGTTTGGGAAAACCTGTTTTAACCAACAGCTCGCAGATACAGTGTGGGTAGGCTACCTACATTATGAGATTATGGAAAACAGCGATATTATTTGTATTTGTCAAACGGCAGCCAAGCATGTCACCAGAATAAGACCTTCGATATTTATTGGAAAGGAGCATCAAGCTCATCACCTTGCACATTCCGCGTCTTGTGAAGTTCATCATAATTGATTTAATCTGTAGTTTAATAAACTGTATGCTTTCCCAAGTCGTAGTGGGAGGACCACACAACATATCTCGTGAATCCAAATTTACTTCGATATGATGGTTATTATATCAATATTTGCACATAAAGTGTTTCCACTGCAATTTCTCGCATAATTAATTTGACCGACACAAAAAGATCCCACCATGTCGAACAAACACATTTTAAATCGACATTTATGCAATTGTACCGGTGTGGTTTGTGTGTACTGAGAAAGTGGGAAAAGTACACCGTGTTCCTTGCATTTAGATTGAAAAACATTCTTCTTGCATGCATATTGATCATGCAACAGTTGCCACTTGTAGTAGTGCCTGAGGTCACGTAAAGTTGGCTGACACAACTAAAACAAATGAGCTATTGGTTAACACTTGAACCCTAAAGCAGTCATTCGTAAATAAGTAGCTTTATTTAATTTGTTACTCTTCAACCAAGTTGTAGTAGGGCAGTGCAAGCAAACAAGACCAGTAGAGTTCTCACAAAAACCAGGCCCTCCTGCTAAATGTATATCCTAATAGAACCCCCCCATAAAGCAGAACATTTAGTACTGTGCATTTTGACATTGGGGTTCATGGATTAAATGTTGCCCACTTCCTATTTTGTGTTTTCTCTTTCCTCAATGTGCATTGGTTAATTATTGCATTAGTTAATTGGTTATTGCATTGGTTAATTAACCTGCTCTGTCTCTCTCCCTCCTTTTTCTTCTCTATCAGTTGGGTAACCCCTTTATTCAGTATTGGAAATAAGCGGAGGCTAGAGGAAGATGACATGTACCAAGTGCTTCCTGATGATGCTTCTCAGGTCCTGGGAGAGGAACTGCAGAGGTGAGCCTAGCCCTATCCCCTAGGGCTTAGCCCTATCCCATAGGACCTAGCCCCATCCCCTGTCCCCTAGCCTATCCCCTAGCCCTATCCCCTAGGACCTAGCCCTATCCCCTAGCCTAGCCCTGTCCCATAGGGCCTAGCCCTTAGCCTACCCTGTCCCCTAGCCTGTCCCTATCCCCTAGCCCTATCCCCTAGGACCTAGCCCCATTCCCCTGTCCCCCTAGCCTATCCCCTAACCTATCCCCTAGGATCTAGCCATATCCCCTAGCCTAGCCCTGTCCCATAGGGCCTAGCCCTTAGCCTACCCTGTCCCCTAGCCTGTCCCTATCCCCTAGCCCTATCCCCTAGCCCTGTCCCCTAGGCTAGCCCTATCCTTTAGCCTTTCCTCTAGCCTTATCCCTTAGCCTTATCCCTAGCCTTATCCCCTAGTCTTATCCCTTGGCCTACCCTGTCCCTATCCTCTAGCCCTATCCCCTAGCCTTATCCTCTAGCCTAGCCCTATCCCCTAGCCTTATCCCCTAGCCTAGCCCTATCCCCTAGCCTAGCCCTATCCCCTAGCCTTATCCACTAGCCTAGCCCTATCCCCTAGCCTTATCCCCTATCCTAGCCCTATCCCCTAGCCTAGCCCTATCCCCTAGCCTTATCCCCTAGCCTAGCCCTATCCCCTAGCCTTATCCCCTTTTCTGAGCATTGAGAGATTACTTTCCCTGGCTCCATTTGGAGTTTAATGCTAAACACTGAATTTAGCACCAATGTGTATTTAGGCTCCAAATAGCCCCATGTAGAGATTACGGCCTGTTTTCTGATCATAGTCTAACAATGTGCTAATCTTTACAGGCATTGGGATAAGGAGGTTCGAATGGCTGCCAAGGAGCTGCGGATGCCCAAACTCACCAAAGCCATCGTGAAGTGCTATGGGAAACCCTACGCAATGCTGGGGATCTTTAGTTTCTCCGTAGTATGTAGAAAGATACATTTGCCTGTTTTTTAAAATAACATTCTATCTATGTACATACAGTACATGGTGAGTGGGTTATCTAGCCATAGAGTACCAATTAAAAGTTTGGACACACCTACTCATTCAATGCTCAAACGCATTAAGAAGGAAAGAAATTCCACAAATTAACCTTGAACCAGGCACACCTGTTAATTGAAACGCATTCCAGGTGACTACCTCATGAAGCTGGTTGAGAGAATGCCAAGAGTGTGCAAAGCTGTCATCAAGGCAAAAGGTGGTTACTTTGAAGAATCTAAAATATATTTTGATTTGTTTAACACTTTTTTGGTAACTACATGATTCCATGTGTGTTGTTTCATAGTTTGGATGTCTTCACTATTATTCTACAATGTAGAAAATAGTGAAAATAAAGAAAAAATGAGTAGGTGTGTCCAAACTTTTGATTGGTACTGTATATGTCAGCTTTTACATTGTAAATAAGTGGATTTGAGTTCAGGTTGAAATCGCTCTACCTCTCTCTTGTTCCCCCAATAGGAGGTGATTAAGGTGATCCAGCCAGTGTTCTTGGGAAAGCTGATCCAGTACTTTGAGAAGTACGATCCAAATGACATGGATGCACTGTATGAGGCCTTCGGCTACGCTGCTGGTGTCTCTCTGTCCACCGTTGCGCTGACCATCCTCCAAAGTCTCTACTTCTACCACGCCTTGAGGATCGGCATGAAGATACGAGTGGCCATGTGTCACATGATCTACAAGAAGGTCAGTATAAGCTACATACTTGCATACTGCACTTTACAAATCAAAATCTTTAAATACAATTTACTAGTAAATGTAATTACCCCATAGGCCCTGTGTCTCAGCAGCGCAGCAATGGGAAGAGCAACCACAGGCCAAATAGTGAACCTGCTATCCAACGATGTCAACAGGTTTGATGAGGTAAAAGCAGGAAGTGCATGAAGACATGAGGTTATTTTGGATGAAGTGGTTGAGCACATCATCTGCCTCAGTTCATTCCATAGGTTTATGAAGAGTATTGCTGTAGCTTATATGTCAATTTACCCTTTGTCAAATGTACAGGAATGGAATGCACCAATATCTGCAAAGCCATTGAAACTTTGAGCCGTCTGTCATCCTGTTCTGGCAAATAAAGTACATACGTTAAATCCACACGGAGAGAACAAAGTCATGGATGAATGGAAAATGCAGATGGTTGCTTAGCAGAAATGTTTACAATAGTCCGATGCTAAACTCAAACCAGACTGAAAGAATATGAATTAATATAACATGGGGAGCCCATGCAGCTTCTTCAGTGGTATGAAGATTGTGATGAGCGTTGCCTGTTGGCCCCTGTAGTAGGTCATGAATCTGTCTCAAAGGACCATTATCATCTTTATGTTATGCTAAATGCAACTCCTTAGAAACATTAGGTAACAGCTAAATTAACCAAGGATCACTGGTCTTTGCAGGTGACCATGAATCTGCACTACCTCTGGATAGCACCTCTTCAGGCTGTGGTGGTTATCATACTCCTGTGGTATGAGATTGGCCCGTCGTGCCTGGCAGGCATGGCTGTCCTTGTGTTCCTCATGCCACTACAGACCATGTTTGGAAAGCTCTTCGGATCCCTCAGGTGGATTACATAAGTTACATGACATGACTTGAACTTACAGTCAGAGTGGGGTCTTCTTGGTAAAAGTTGTCCTTATCTATAGGTGGCAACGTTTTTCAGTGAGTGGCTCCTATGCTTCGGTGATTATGGCATAGAGCTACCTGTTAAATGGGAACCCATAGGTCAACCTACACTACCAGTCAAAAGTTTGGACACACCTACTCATTCAAGGGTTTTTCTTTATTTTTACTATTTTTTACATTGTAGAATAAATAGCCACCTTTACCTTGATGACAGCTTTGCACACTCTTGGCAATCTCTCAACCAGCTTCATGAGGTAGTCACCTGGAATGCATTTCAGGTGTGCCTTCTTAAAAGTTAAGCGCTATGATGAAACTGGCATGTCATGATGACCGCCAAAGGAATGGAAGACCCAGAGTTACCTCTGCTGCAGAGGATAAGTTCATTAGAGTTACCAGCCTCAGAAATTGTAGCCCAATTAAGTGCTTCACAGAGTTCAAGTAACATACACATCTCAACATCAACTGTTCAGAGGAGACTGTGTGAATCAGGCCTTCATGGTCGAATTGCTGCAAAGAAACCACTACTAAAGGACACCAATAAGAAGAAGAGACCTGCTTGGGCCAAGAAACACGAGCAATGGACATTAGACCGGTGGAAACGTGTCCTTTGGTTTGGAGACCAAATTTGAGATTTTTGGTTCCAACCGCCGTGTCTTTGTGAAACACGGTGTGGGTGAACGGATGATCTCCGCATGTGTAGTTCCCACCGTAAAGCATGGAGGAGGAGGTGTGATGGTGTGGGGGTGCTTTGCTGGTGACACTGTCTGTGATTTATTTAGAATTCAAGGCACACTTAACCAGCATGGCTACCACAGCATTCTGCAGCGATACGCCATCCCATCTGGTTTGGGCTTAGTGGGACTATTATTATTTTTTTCAACAGGACAATGACCCAACACACCTCCAGGCTGTGTACAGGCTATTTGACCAAGAAGGAGAGTGATGGAGTGCTGCATCAGATGACCTGGCCTCCACAATCCCCCAACCTCAACCCAATTGAGATGGTTTGGGATGAGTCGGACGGCAGAGTGAAGGAAAAGCAGCCACCAAGTGCTCAGCATATGTGGGAACTCCTTCAAGACTGTCAGAAAAGCATTCCAGGTGAAGCTGGATGAGAGAATGCCAAGAGCGTGCAAAGCTGTCATCAAGGCAAAGGGTGGCTATTTGAAGAATATAAAATATGTTTTGATTTGTTTAACACTTTTTTGGTTACTACATGATTCCATATGTGTTATTTCATAGTTTTGCTCTTTTCACTATTATTCTACAGTGTAGAATGAGTAGTTGTGTCCAAACTTTTGACTGGTACTGTACATGTTAATGATGTTCTTGTTTTAAACCCCTTTTCTGTTTTGACTGTAATGATTACCTCTTGGAACACTCCAAGCACATGTGAAGAAAAGTTAGCTTCACATGTTGGCTGGCATATTGACTGGTAATTGAACCGTGAACGCTTGCTTGGGCAGTTGTTCACATGATCAACGACACAAGTGCTGGAAGTAATAGTTTTGATTAGGTGTTATAAAACCCTAAAGCAATGTAGACTTCTCTGATTCTACGAAAGAGTTATCTTAATTAAATGCAATTTCAACATTGCCATCGGTTCCATAAACTCAGGAAACGTCAGAAGTTTCTGTTCACACGGAGGAGATATGTCTGAACTGACTGAGTGAACTCCTTTCCTTGCAGGAGTAAGACCGCTGTCCTGACAGACAATAGAATACGCACCATGATTGAAGTGGTGTCTGGAATCAGGATCATCAAAATGTATGCCTGGGAAAAGCCCTTCTCAGCACTCGTCAATGAAGTCCGAAGGTAAAAACTACAGTAGTAACATAAATGGTATATGTTTATTTCAATTAGCTAGATACACAAACGGTATGATAAACCAAGGGCCCCCAGCTAGATGGGATCGATCCCTTTAACATTCTCATTCCTTGTACTGTCTCAGCCCATTTTGTCCTGATTGTGGTGCTGTAGAGCCATGGTGCTTGAACCCCGCCATGGCAAGGTTGCAGCTGTATTTTGATATGTATTTCCCCTCTGGGACAATAAAGATGTATTGATTTAAATTGAAAATAACTTTTGCATGTTTGCACCTGTTGTTTTCAAAGGGGAGTATCAAAGACCAGAAAATAAATGGGTCGTTCCACCAAATGAATACCTTTTGGGTAGTGTAACTTCGTCAATCATTTTAACATTCTGCCATAAAGAGCACATGTTCAACTTAAAGGAGAAATCCACCCAAAACCATTCATTCCTTTAATTTACAGTGTTAAATAACACATATGTGAGAACAATATTTTTTTGTTAACAAATGTTTCATTTTGCTGTTATAATAAGGTTGGTAGCAACATGGAAAATCGTTGTGGAAATCTGTTCCAGCTCAAGTCGACTGCAAAATCCACAATGCAATGCTCTCTCTATGGGCTGGCTGGCTAGCTAGGTAGCAAACATAGCTGCACACATTAATACCACAGACAATATCAGCATGTAAAGTAGCTAGTTAGCTGTAAAATCGCCTAAACAAACTGCACTATCAATTTAGAAGTCTACAATATCACCATGTTCAACCTGCAGATCGATGTGCCTCACAGAGTGGTCTTAACATTCGCAATGGCAGATATACCTTTGAGGAGATGGGAAACGTTGCCCATGCTACCTCAAGGAGCTCTTATGGAGCCAGATACCTGCCAAAAGGTTGAACATACGTATCATACATAAATTGTTAGGATCGTAAGAAAAGCCATGCGTGAAACAACGTGAAATGTAATCTGTGAACATACAAACGCCATGTTACGATTACGGACTAACATTTTAGGCTTGAACACATCCTGTGTTGAAATTCTGATGTACAATAATACCTTTCAGAGTTTTGGCAGTTTAATCTCATCAACAAAATAAATGTACACCAAACGGCCTGTGAGGAGAGCTACCCGAACAAGCATAACACAGTATAAAAAAAAAAAACGGAAGTGGGGAAACCTGGGAAGAGGTATCCTGCACGTTTTCAAGTTAAAAGTCTCCATTCTCTATTACTCAGTTGAGTTTACTTCACATTTAGGTAGCTAATGTAATGGATTTGTTTGCCAGCTCAAGTCTAGACAGCACTAGCTGTATTATGTCTACAACAGTGAAGTTTCAGTCCACTAGGTGTATCTCTACAGCATGGGCATATCTCTGGGTGACATGGACATCCCCATGCAAGCACCTTATCAAAATATGACTAATTCAATATTGCACCATCCCGTTCTCTTGGCTCTGTCTGCAATCATAACCAGTAGTATATACCAAGAATAATTAAACATACAATAATAATAATAGATGTTTGGTGAATCTATGAATTATGTATGCTCACTGGAGTCTTTGCCACTCAAAATATTTTTTTTATAGAATATTTTGATATTTATTTCAGCACTCAAAATCTTGCCAAAGCATATTCTGTAGGAGGGGTTAATATGAATTTAAAATAATTTGACATGATCTATATGAATCGGGTCATGAACATATTGACTTTGAAATGAACAAGAGAGAGGTTAAACATAGGCTTAATCTGGCATAAGCTTATTCCCACATATTACAGTAACTCTGTTGCAGTGGTCTTAGGTAGTCTCCGTATAGGCTATTCCCTCCATCGCGACACTGCTGCCCAGTTGAAGAGCTTGTGATCTCCATGCAGCACCACAGCACCATGCTCTTTCGGAAAAGTACCCCTCAGCCTCAGAAGATGCCCTTCTGGAGGCATGCAGCCAGTCATTATACACTAATGTAGGCCTATTTGCCTACTAGCCAAATAAAGTGCAGAGCATGCATGATGCGTGCAACTCATCATTCCAACATATTTGAACATTTAATGTTTCCTTCATTCAGTTCAGTATGTCATCTATTCAGTCATTTGTCATCCATTCAGTCATTTGTCTGAGTTGCAATAGGAAGTAAATCAAAGAGAATAGAACAGTATTTTCCAGATGTTTATTGAAATCCATTTGTATTCAAAATAATCTAAAATGATGCTGAGGTGTAGTCACTTTTGAGGACACAAGCTCAAGTACACAGTCAAATATTTTGTATGATGTATTTCCTATTCAACAAAACTGTATGAATAAGGCTTGAAATGACTTACTATAAAATGACTAACTATAAGATTTCACCTTCCTTAAAACGGTATAATACATATTTGTATGTTTAGTGTTGGAAGAAAGGTCTCTCTTGATCAAAACGTCTGCCCCCATCGCTGTGAACGTCTCATAGCTCTAGCTTAGCTTCCTGAACTCGTTAGGAACTTGCCTTTCATCTCGTATTAATCTTGTCCATCTATGATAAACAGAAAGTGTTTGTTAAAAATATATTTTAGATTAATGGCAATAAATTGATCTCTGAATGTGCTACCGTGATGAAACCACTCTCTCCTGCTGCGCTACGATGTAACGATTGTAGGCATGCGCTTTGTCCGTGGCTGTGACGTAGTGTTCATCCAGGAGTTGATGGACAGTCGGAAGAGTGAATGAAATGGTAGGAGGGACATCCCAGCTTCAATTGGTTTCAGATTTCACATCCTACGTCACACAGGCTCAGAAAATATACTACTGTGTCTGTGGGAACCAGGGCTATCCCTCAATGCAAGCCATTTCGATCTACTGTATCCACAGATTGATTTATAAGCGATAATGTAGGTTGGAACCGGTAACAGAACCACGCAGGTCCCCTAAAAAGGGGACCTTACATCTAAGAGATTTTAAGTGGGTCACGGAGGGACAAAATGCAGAATATAAAAAAATTGATACATTTGATTTCCCATGTGGTCTATACCCTCCTGGCAAAAGGTACCGGAGCATCGACTCTCGGATCAACAGACTCCGAGACAGCTTCTACACCCAAGCCATAAGAGTGCTAAATAGGAAGTTTGTTCTGAAGTGTTTGTCCTATATCTGAGAGATATAAGTAAATCAGGAACCATTTGTTATATATTTACATGTATTTAACCCCTTATTTTTGGCACTAAACAGTCTCCATATATACTTCCATTCATTTTTTCAACTGGTACCAGGGGACCTTCAGATGAGTCTTGTGAGGCCAAAACAACCAACATGTACATGTTTCCACAGAGGGGTCATATTCGTTTGTAGGCCAAACCGTTCGGACGCTACAGACGATTTTGTGAGAAGACCGATTTTCAGGATGTCTCATGGTCTGACAGACACCGCTCTATCTCTGTCACCTTTCACCGCAGATGCGGAATTGCGACATAGGTGGATGCGGTGGATTGAGACACATCCAATGCAGATATCTCTAGCTTAAATTTACGTATTATGGTAATTATATTCCCGCCGGGGCGCGGACATCGACCTTAGGGGTTTTAAAGGGCACTTCAATTGAGTACAGGCTTAACTGAATGACAACAGAGACAGAATATAAAAGGATTTTATTGAATTGTTTGGGGCCGGCAATTATGTTGTAATGGAAATAATCATATGGAATGTTTTTGGTTGAAATTAGACATCTGTGTGTACGTCTACCCAGCCACGCATTCGGTAAGAGATATTCATGATTAACATGAAACGCTAACCGAGCATTGAACCCAACAGTGCATGCCGTAATGCAACTGTAAATGTATGATTGACATGAAACACTAATCGAGCGTTAGACCCGACAGTGCACACCGAAATGCAGGAAGAAATGGGCACCTGCTGGGTTCTACAGTTTGAACCTCTGCTGTCTCTGGCTCCACACCCACCCCGCCCGGCCATCTAGATGTGTGAAAGTTAGTGTATAAGCTAATGATCCATCATGTATGACATTCCTGGGAGTGTGTAAACTTACATTTTGTATTACCATATCATTTTTGTATGTTCTCTATAGTTATGTACTTGAAAATGTATCAATTGACCAATTCGGCACATTTGGGCAGACTTGATACAAAATAGTCCAGGATTGCAATGCTTCACTGGATCAATCTGAAACGTTGCGCGCACACTGCTGCCATCTAGTGGCCAAAATCTAAATTGCACCTAAACTGCAATATTATATTGTGGCCTTTCTCTTGCATTTCAAAGATGATGGAAAAACAAAAAAAATTGAAAACACATTTTTTTGTTTGTATTCTCTTTAACCATATCTAATGTGTTATATTCTCCTACCTTAATGTCACATTTCCACAAACTTCAAAGTGTTTCCTTTCAAATGGTATCAAGAATATGCATATCCTTGCTTCAGGTCCTGAGCTACAGGCAGTTAGATTTGGGTATGTCCTTTTAGGCGAAAATTGAAAAAAGGGTCAGATCCTTAAGAGGTTAATAAGCTACGGGCAACATAACTGAAGCTGAAAGCCACAGTTCTTGTTTGATATTACTGTCGATGGCCACCCTGCCACGTAGTTTGCTGCTGGAGAACATCTCCATTATTCGAGATAGAACTGATTTCATGGACTGATATCAAACAAACGGAAGACATTTTGTTTATGACGAGATTACTTACAAATGTAATACAAATGCCAAGAGTGATGAGAGTTAAAGGCAGTAGTCCAATTTGTGTCGCTGAGGAATCAATTGATAAAATGACTGTTGCAAAGCTCCACTTGAGCAAGGCTACTTAATATCAAATATGATTGACCAGCTTACAGACTTATGAAACATGTGGCCTCTTATTATACAATACCAATCCACGATTGCTGCGATGGATTGTCGGCGAGGCCGTTCGACAAGTTCTCTTAAGTTCACCTTAGTAGAGTCCACTCCTATGTATCCAAATAGCTCTGAACAGCACTCAGTCTGTGTAGATCAGTAGACGGAGTTCTCACGCCCGGCAGGGCACGAATATGGA